GCAAGATTATGTCCTAAAACATGCTTTTATTTATACAAATATTTCAAAAAATGTATAAACATTTTTCCAAAAAAAAATTTTTTTTCAAACATTTTTCAAAAAAAAAATTCTTAAACTTTTTTCTATAAATGTTTTTTCAAAAAACTTTCTGATACTTTTCAAAAAAACATAAAATTTTTAAGACCTTTTATTTCAACAAAGAATCTCTCTAAAAAATTTTTTCTATACATTTTTCCAAAAACATCTTTTTCAATCTTTTTTTAATTTTCTCAAAATATTATTTAGACATTTATTCTCTCAAAAAAATTCTAATGTATGTATTTTTTTAAAAAAAAATCCAAAATATTTTTTTACTAATAGTTTTTTCAAAAAACTTTTTTTTCTAAATGTTATTTTTAATTTTGTAAAAAATGTTTTAGACATTTTATTTCTCTGTTTTAAACACAAAATATTCACTTGGCAGCATGTTTTAGGATATAATCTTGCATTTTAAGGCATACTTTTTATTTAAGGCAGACTTTTTTTTTTTGATTTTTTCACGATGGTAACGCATGTTTTTGTTGATTTTTGAAATATTCATATAAAATATGAATATGAGTATCAGAAAAAAGTATCAATTTTTTTCTAATTTCTTTTTAAATGTTATTTTTAGGTTTGTAAACATTTTTTTTGATATTTTATTTCTCAAAAAACTGTTAAAAAATGTTTTCTATACATTTTTCTAAAAACATTTTTTTAATCTTTTGTTTATTTTTTCAAAAAAGAATTTTCATAAAATTTTGCATTTAGAGAACTTTTTAGCAAATTTGTTTTTATAACATTTTCTGTCAAAATAAAAGAACTTTTTGAGTCAATTAGGGCTTTTTGTGAACATTTTTTGATTTTTTTTATGAAATTCTCTTTTAAAATATTACATTTTTGTGTGTCAGAAACTAAGAGAAAATGACGACAAGTTTTGTAAAAAAAAAATCATTAAAAAAATTAGTAAAAGATTTTGGTAAAAAAATGTTTTGAAAAGATTTTAGAAAAAAAAATAATAATTTGACTTTCATTCCCGATCCCTCTCCTCCCGACTAATAATAATTTCATTCCCGATCCCTCTCCTCCCGACACGCCACAGTCTACATAAAATACTGTGGGGAAAACTGAACACAGAGAAAGATTAAAAACCATTAATTTCCTGATCTATTAAAGATACTGACACAATTTCATACCACTTTGTTTAATTTAAGAAGTCAAACGTTACATGCACGTGCCTTGTGGTTGCCATAGTTACACCACAACACTTTAACTTTCATGACACAGACGGCGCTACGGCAGCAAATGTATTTGTAATTTTTTTCTTCTAGACGCATTTTTCAATTCCGGGTATGACAGAATCCACTGTTCGTAGATCAGCTTTCGGCAGCGGTCAACATCGGAAACTCTTCCCTCTCCATTACGCTCCAGACAGATTGGGAAACCAGATGTCACGACTGAACGCACCGCACGTCGGCCCTGGCTGCTATAACAACCATGAGGTTTGTTTGAACTTTATGGATTTTATAATAATGAACTCGACAAGATAGATGGTCACAATAATATTTTTCCCTCCTCACAGTACGGCACCATAATCTATGAAATTGAGAGGACACCAGGAAGTAAGAGAGGATACTGTCTGTCTGCAAGAACTGCGGCTCGTTTTCCACCTGACATCCAGGTACTGCACCTGATTTATCAGCCCTAGCTTTCCCGATAAATTGTATTTTATTATCCTATAAAAGAGACATTGATTTGTATAAGCTTGTAAATCTTAGCTCACAAAATTCACATCATTGCAATGCGATGCAATCAAAAGTTGTTTTGCAGTTTTTTATTTAAATACCGAGAAATCAGTTTTGTATAGTGACCAGCTGTCCCGCTGTACGTTGTAATGTACATTTTAGCCTCTGTCCCGCGTCACGCAAATTGAGCATTTTGTCCCACTTTTTCATTCGACATTACTTTATTGAATATAAACTGCAGTTCTGTAAAAACGTTTCTGTATGGCAGGGTGGAGACTCTGATGGGAAACGACACGGTGCACTTGTGTCTCACACAACAAGTACACAGCAGAAAAAAAGTCTCCAAACCAAATGACACTGAGTTGTATCAAATTCCTGTGGTCGAAGTTACCAGTGTTTACCACGCAGAGCAATATGCACATTCATATCGGTTAACCGACTGCAGAAAACCTCAAATGTCCAGAGAGATTCAAGTCAAAGTTCACTCTGTACATAGTTTTATAAAGTTCTGCAACGATGGAGAATATACATTCATGGTCATTGAGTCTTTGAGGTTTTATCATTTGGTTTCTTTTCTGTAAACTGTTTCAGAAACGTGCTATTCATAGTGCTAAGAAAGGCTGCTGGCCTGCCGTCTGCTGGATTGTGATGCACTATTTTTTTGTGATGTTTAAATGTGATGTGGCGCTGGGTTATTTCTATTTTTTATTTCCATGTTTCGGTCACAGATGGTCATATAATCCACATGAGTTGTTGGTTTAACAGAGACCTGTTTACAGGTCTGAGACTACTTACAAAAAAAACATTAATGAAAGTCAAATACAATGTTTAGGGGGTCACCCCTCTGACCTGTTACACGTCATCTGTACGTCACTGTCCTCAGACCTCGACGCCTTCACCACAGCTGTACCAACCAGATCAGAGCCAGTCCAGGACTGTCCTTCCTGGAAAAACACCTTTCAATTCATCTGCAGAGAGGTTTAAAGGCAGATTAAGTACAGTGGAGACCAACCCAGGGTGAGACTGACAGAAACAGACCCCGCTCCAGAGAATCAGTGTTGAAATGCACTCACAGATGTTGTTTTGTGGTTTAGACCTGGGACCTATGATTACAACGCAGTGACCAACAGGAAAGTGAGCTGGCCGATGTGCTTTGGCAGACCAGACTGGTCCAGACTACCTCAGCTGGAGAAGAAGTCACTCAGAGTAATGGTGAGTACAAGTGAATTATAATTATACATATATTTGATTATACAAATATACATAACTTTTAGTGTGGTTATAAATTCTTATTTTCTTTCAGCTAAATGGTGAAAAAGAGTTCCTGAAGCACAGAAGCAGAGTGGCCTACCTGAGTTTGTACTATTAACGTTGATGTGAATGCTATAAAGAAAAAAACAACAACCAAATGATTGTGTTTCTCATTACTTCTGGGAACACTTAATGTCAAGATCAAGACTAAATATCATTACACAAACTTTAAAAAAAGAAACTTAGTTTTCTTTATTCACAAAATGGCTGTCTGTATATTACACGACTCAACATACAAACTGTTTCCAAACCAAATGAGTGCTTTTTGAAAAAAAGAAATAGATTGTTAACAAATAGGAAGTTAATCTTATCGTTCCACCTGGATTGTAATGTAAATAATCTACAGCCGTGTTGGTCCCAGCATGGAGGAAAAGCAGCCACATGTCCCCACTAAACGAAGTGGGTCTGTAGATGGCGCCACGTCTCTATGTGGAGGGAATCACTGTCCACTGATAAGAGCACCAACCAAGGTGGCAGGTGCAAGTCTGTAAATTCAGCGGGATTCCAAATCATTTCTTCCTCCTGACTTTGGGTTTTTTGACGGGTCGAAGGTATGGATTATCTATCACATTGTCTTCACTGGCCTTCGTGGAGGGAACGCCACCACTGGGAGGAAGCAGGGAGTTCTCCTTGTCTGCACCAGGATCATCCTGAAGAAATAAAAATGATGACGTGATGACGTTGTTTACTACTTGAATATTAAAAGTATAAAAATTAGCACCGATTAGCAATGGTCTAATCTGCCTATGTTCTTTATTGAAGGATTTTTTTTTTCATCACCGTGTGTTTCTTATACAATGAAACCCTCACTAAAATACTGACATGAGTTTTACTTGATTTATAAAACCAGTTAATATGAGTTCAAGTAGGTTTTCTTTTACTTAAAAATGTTTATACATTATTAGAATTTAAAGGTAAAGACAGGGAGACACCGTGACATTAATACATGGATGAAGACTGAGCTACAGATGATTTCAACCACAGTGAGTCCCAAGCACAGGAACTTACAGTGATGTGGTTTCCTGTTGTGTTGTCGCTGTCTGTCTGGTCGTCCTGCTCTGAAGAATCTGTCTCCTCCAGCGCTTGCAGTTCAAGCTCAGATGGCAGGAGGGCGCTAAGATAAGGAATGACACTGGGCCTTGCTGCAATCACTGAAAACATAATCACAAATCATCACTAGGGGTGTAAGAAAATATATCAAACTAAAGGTGACTTTTGGTAAAAGGAGGGAAACACTCACAGGGGAAGGCAGTGATGTCGTCCTTAAAGAGACTCTGAGTTTCTCCCGTCTTGGCCATAAAGCGGGTGAGTGCTCGCTCCACGTCTCTCCTCTGCGACGCTGCCTTCTCTCTCACTACTTGGTAATCTGACACGGGCTCTCTGAATGTCTGCAGAGACGAAGAGAATCGGCTCAAAAGAGAGAATGACGGCCCTGTAAAATATATACTGTAGGCAGGATTATGAGTATTTGTATGAAGAATATTGGACTCAAACTCACTGGTGTCTTAATGTAGGTGTGAGGGTCAGGGAATTCTGGAAAGTGGCCTGGGATGTGGGAGGGATGTGAACGTTTCTGTCCAGCTGACAGAGCTTTGGGAGCTCCAGGTTGATTTGTCACTGGAGCTGAAATGTATAAAAATCTTCATTAATTCTGTGAGTTAACATGTTGATATGTTCAAGTCTCGTATTACAGTAGGATTCATTGGGAATGAGTGAGTGAACTCACGGGCAGTTATAACCATCCTTTGGGATCTTTTTGCGTACACAGGCAGCGTGTCTACATTGAACCCTGCAGTGAAACAGTGAGATTAAAGGACCGGTTTCATGATGTGGAAACATTAAATCTGGATCCTTCAGGATTTACCCATTTCAATGAGCGTGACCACGGTATCGGAGAGGGTCGGAATGGTTCTGGCCGTGTGCTCACAATAGGCTTTAGCACAGCGTCCTATTTCAGTTATATCTGTGGGGGAAAAAACAACAACATGATTCAGAAAAGCATCTGCGTATGGATTATAAGCTCATTACAAACAAAAAGTCAGACGAGTCTGATCAAATTCATGGTCTGCTCTCTAAAGCTTCACAGTAATATTAAATATATTAAATGAAATTAACATGACAATGAGGGGAAGTTTGAACACACTTTTAATGTTAAATAAGTTCAGGTTTTTATGCAGGTCATAACTGTCCGACTGTGCCTGTCAAGAAGTTTTGTGTTGTGACCAATGAAAACAAAGGATCACAGGTTAGTGGGCTTCAGAGAGAACGAGACAGTGAGCTTGTTAAATGTTTTACCTTATTTAGCATCTAAAACATGCATACACTCACCATAGTCAGAGTTTAACTTTGACTTAAACAGTATAGTTTACATTTTTATATTTACAATTATCACATTTAGGCTAAATTAAGTTCCTACAGGATGAGTTATGAAGAAGCCTCAGTAATGATAGGATGTGTTTCTGATCAGGAACATCGTTATTTAAACAATTTAGATTGAATTTAAAGCAAGTTATACACAACACACTGACATTAACTGTGTTATCGTGTCACTTTTATACATACAGCTCTGCATCATTTCAGTAAGGGTCTCCACCGCTGCCTTCTCCGCACTCTCAAAGCCACTCTCTGTCAGCAGGGCACTGACAACAACCTGCAGGGTGCGTCGTCTGGCCAGATGGTAGTTCTCAGCGGGACTCGAGGCGGATTTACTGCCTCCTGTCCGCTGGGGACGTGATATATAGATCAGAAATGTCCAGAGGAAACCAAAGTTCGACAAATTCCACAATCCTACACCATTCCCTTTTAAATACAAACATTTCTTACAATCGCTAAAATTGTAACTAACTCGCCGTAGCCAATGGTGACATGCAAAGTACTAGTTAAATGATACATCGATATCTTATAAATTACACATTAACGTTTGAGTGTTTATATTTGTATCTAATCTGTATTTAAAATCCAAGTTGTAATTTGAGTAAAGCGACATATTTGATCATTTTTAAACTTATCGACCATTAACGCCTGACTGCTCGGTTAATTCACCTAAACGAGTAAAAAGCTCAGTCTTACCGCTGCTAAAGCTCCTGACGAGACCGATGGGTCCGCCATCATTTCTTGTTTGAACTCTGTTCGCTCAATTCATCCGAGTTGTCCTGAGAGCAACTTGTATTTCTCCTACCTGCGTTTAGCCACCGTTTAGCCGCCGTTAGTAAACACGGCGCACTTTCCTGACGTCGTTTCCGCATATCACCGGAAGTCAACAGCAGTTCTCATTTTTGCTGGCGCCCTCTATTGTCACTATGAAAACAATGCATTGTCGGAGGGCAATCTTCTATTGAAAGCTATCTTTTGGCTAACATTTGTTTGTTTGAAAAGATTTGTAGCTTATTTGCTGATGTACGGGTAACATTGGGGTGTTTGTAGTTGTTAGGACTGTAATAGTTAGCTTAAAATTAGTTTGTCATATTTGAACATTTTAAATTATTTTTGGTAAATTCTAAAAGCAGCATCAGAGCGCAGTTTTTATAATCTATTACATTATTACTACTCTTTTATCAAGTTTATTATTAGTTTTATTATTTAAGAATGTATTTCCTTTTTTGTCAGCGTTTTTACATTTGTCACATTTCGGGTATTTTTGTGTAGTTTGTAGTTTATCTGCCTGTATAACCCACAAAGTAACAATGTGTGTTGTTTTGCACAGGCCTTAAATGAACTAAAACAGAAAAATCACTTGTTGCTTTTGGATTATAAAAATATTAACTTTTAGTTTGTGTTTTTCGTGTCTTTTTAACATCTGCAGTCACATTTAACAACATGGACCCTGCATTTATCTTGATTCTTTAATCTTTGTTTTAATCCTTTGCATTCATCATTATTCAGTCAAGGTCTGCTCCTGTTACTTACTGAAAATATGTTTTATTGGAGTGCAATATGAAATTATTTACAAGTATTACCAGCACATTCATTGCGTATGCATCACTGCATCAATCTGCTGCACAGCAGTCAGATCTGTATCCACATATTCATATTAAAAGCCAGCAGTGAGATTTGCACTTGTAACAACATAAAAAAACTAGTTGAAAAGAAAGTGCAGTCGTACATGATTATTCATTTTACAACCTTCTGCCTTGATCAGTTTCTTCATGAAGCGTGCAAACGGTTTGCTGAGCTTCTCTGTCCAGCAGACACCAGATGTTTGATCACTGCTGTCTCCAACGCATCTTCAGGTCCAGAGCCATAGGTATGTGATGTGAACACTTGTTCTTTCTCTTTCTTCTTCCTGAGCAGAAACACTGGTGTCTCTTCGATCACCTCCTGCTCCTCAAAAGGCAGGAGAACCATGCCCAAAAGTCCACCAATAACTCCGAGTATGGCCAGGGTGGAGCCGATGGTGTAGATCTTCACCATGGCCCACTTTGGCTTCTGGTTCATCATCTCCTTAGCAAAAGGAATTATCTCAGCGAGGGATTCCATGAGCTCTCTGAATTATACACTGATGAAGAGAATAAAAACAAAAATAAGAACAAAAAAATTCAGTAGTTACCAAGAGTAATTATTAAATTTTCAAAAAGAAAACGAAAAAAAGAAAAACTCACCTGATGCACTGTGTAACTCTGCTCCTCTGTGGCTCTGGCATCTACCAGGATGGGGCAGACTGCGCCATTTTTAAACACTCACAGATTTAGGTCAACTCCCACAGTGGAGGCAGATACATATTCATGAGGCGTTTTGCAAAATTATGACTTTTGGGTAAAAGGGCGCGGGACGAGATGTGAAGCAACTACACATCATCTGATGTAGTTCATATGCTGTACAGCCAGGCGGCGTTGCTGAGTGCAGGGTAAAGATAAATACAGGACAAAATAAACATGACTGCTAGGTTTGTGTTGTGTTGTCTTCCAGTCTACACATTGACCCTCATCAGGCGATGCCTGTGTGGATACACATGGAGTTTCCTTCACTGAACACAGAGATAAAGGTTCAGTAGGAGATAAGCCTCAGTGGAATCCTTCTGATTAAGCAGCTCTGAAATGTTTCACTCCTGCTTGCTAACTTAGAACTGAGTGATTGTCCACTTGTGTATGTGTATGTGTATGTGTATGTGTGTGTGAGGTTCTCTGCCCTTTGACATTATTCCCCACAGTGCAGCAGCCGAGGGAGGGCAGTCAGACAGAAGACTTGTGAAATGTGTCTGATCTTTGTCACAGAGAGACGTGTCAAAAAAAAAAGAAAAAACAAAAACGAGAGAATTTCATAAAGTCAGTGTCAAAGGATACTGATGTGCTGTTCATCACGCACACACACAGAAAGACAGATCTTCAACAACGCTGTGGATTGGTCCACCTTGTCAGACCATCATGTCTGAGTGATGTGAATGGACAGTTCTGGTCACCTGAGGATAAAAACTCCGACTTTAACCAGCAATATTTAAAAAAAGAAAAAGTGAAAGTGAACTACTTGTCATTGTGACACAGCACACCACTGCTCACAACCAAATGTGACCTCTGCTTTTAACCCATCACCATGCCATGCTCAGAGCACCTCAGTGGTGACTTGGCAGCTGGTGGACTAAAACCTGAAGCCTTCTGGACCCAAGTCCACTTCTTTAATCACTAAGACACCACTGCCTAAGCAGCTGTTCTACATTTACTGTATATTGTTTAACAGGTAAAAGTGCATTAAAAAAGGGTTGTAATTTGTCTTAACAAAAGAAAAGTTGGAAAAAATGAATATGTGGTTTCTTCACTTTCTGCTGATGTTTGCAGGGTATTTTTTTGTTTGGTCATTCAAAAACAAAGTGTTTTTTTTAGCTTGAGATTCAGATAGTCGGGGGATCTCCTAGGTGAAAGGCCACGCTGGTGGAAGCTGTCACTAAATGAACAACACTGTCCAGCAGTTTAGCATTGATTTGGTAAGTGTCACAATACTGGGATTTACCAAATCAAATGGACTCAGGACAACTGTAGGAAGGACATGTCCTTTAACACAGTCTGCAGCCAAAATGCTCGCTGACACAAAATCATGCGATGAGGTTTGATTTTTGAGCAGTTCCAAAAATCAAACCTTCCAAAGTGGATCCAGGCTGTAATCAATGAAATCAATGAAAATCCAGCATGTGTGTTGGTGTGAAGGTGCAGCAGCAGCCATGACATGGAGGGTCCGCTTTTTGGTGAAGGTACCACTGAGGTGGAAGATGTTTGTTCCATTCAAGATAACGTCTTTTCCAGGAACTGAAAGTTTGACAATTCTGGACAAATGACAAATCATGCAGTTCAGATAAGTCATTAGATGTTTGGTTCATCATCACAAATATAGGAACATTTGCTCAAAGACTTGAGCAGCTCAAACTTCAACCAGAAAACAAAACATTAGCATAGTTTTATTTTTTTTAGCCACTGTTTCCTGTGGATGGAAGTTTGTTTGTACAGTTCAGCAACGAATAAAATTCATTCATTAAATAATCTTTGACAGCTTGATGTTGTTTTCAGGTCACTGTGGAGCTGGAGTCAATCCCAGCGGTGACCGGATGAGGGCGTGATTACATTTAATTGAATTAAATTAACGATTGTATTATGAGAACATTTATTATTACGACTGTGTGATTAACGTGATTAAAGAGGAGAATTTCCCAAATGACACTGAACGTTTCACCATTGAAGCTCTGCAGTGATGAAATGCCTCTGATTTCCAGATCAACCTTTAGTCCTGTTGGTCAGTTTCAGTGGTCAAACGTCACCACAGCGGTACTCCCAGCAGAGATCGTTCTACCGCGGTGACCGTTGGCCCATATATCTGGGCTCCTCTGCTACAATGGCCCGTCCGTCTCTACAACTTCATCACAGCGATCACGTAGGTGTTTAGCGGGAAGTTTGGGAAGTGTGAGTCATAAACATGTTTTTTTAACATTTCAACAAGAAGTTCCGAACATTCTTTAAATCTTCAGATCGTTAGCAGACGAGAAGAGCAGACGAGAAGAGCGCCACCATGTGGCGACAGCGTGTTTGTGAGTGATCCACCATGTGGCGACAGCGTGTTTGTGAACTCACAGTGAGTTCTGCTGAATGGCTGCAGCTCTAAATCCACCGGTGCTGGTAATCCTGGTTCTGTCGGAAGATGAACTCCAGGGTTAGATAATCCTCAGTGGATGTACAGCCAGATAATGGGTTTACAGGTTGGGTTAAATAGGGATTTCTGGTCAGGTCACAGAATTAGGACATAAGGTTTTGAGGTGTTTTGAATTTTTTTCTTTATTCAGATGTATATTTTGTTTGCCTTTTGTAGAAACGTCCAATAGTTTCTGATGTTTTTATAAAGTAAACCAGTACTTTGAAAATGTCTCATTCACCCTTATAGTACATTAATGTAGATAAGATTCTTTTTAATATTTGATATTTATAATCCTTAATCTGGACAGGAAATGAATGTTGCGATGTTAGCTTTTGAAGCTTTAATGCTCAAAAGTGTTTCAAAGACTGTGCTCAAACGGTTTGGAGAGTTTCAGTTAGTTGTGTAACTAACTTTTGACTGACTTTGACCTAGTCATGGACCACTTTACGATAATCTTCTTGGGTAACGCAC